GACCTCCAGGCTTCGAAACGCCGCCTCGCCATTGGATGTCCAGCCTGAGCGCGCGAGGCTTTCCCTTTTACGGGGCCAGGTGATTTGCGGGAGGTGGCCGGATGCGCTCCCAATGTTTCAAAAGTTTGGGCAAGTGCGACTGACGTGGGGATGGTGGCAGTCATGGCCAAGCTGCATAATTAGGATGCGTGGCACGGATGCAAAAGCTTTGGAGGGCCACGTTGATTTTTCCGAACGAGGCTGGCCAGGGAGTGTTGCTGAGACTTGGCCGAGGGGGCAAGGATGCAAGGGTGGCCGCGACAAGTTGTTCACCCTGCCTATCCGTTGGGATCGGCCATTAGGTCGCGGAAAGGACCGTTAATCCTAGCACTTCCCCCGCCTCTGTTTGGGGGGCGTTCGTTCGGCAGAAGCAGATGGATGTTGCGTGACATCTCAGGCGACGCTAGGTTCGCCCCGACGGCGCGGTCGGCGGCGACGCGGATATGTTCAGATTTCCAGAAGCAGCCCAGGGAACACACACACACACACGCATAACATACACGGGGGTACGCGAATGCAGGGGGGTGAGAAACACAGGAACGGGGGATAACGAGTTGATGAATGGCGATTTGATACATGCACTGGGCCCGCGCGCGTCTACCACATTGTCGCACGCTCGGCGCCTCCTCGTCGACGCCTCGGTCTTCCCAGGATATTCGCATGGGAGGCGGCCTGTGTCAGTTCCCGCGGAAGGAGCGGACTGGACGGGACCTGTCGCGCTAATAGTACGCCACGCTGGGCGCTTGCGACAGGCAGAACACCAATGCCGAGCGTGCCAGCGCATTGTCGACTCGAGGCGGGTCCTGGATGTTGCTCGCTCCTCGTCCTCCTCTCCTCATCCTTCTCCTCCTCTTCCTCGTCCTTTTTCGTTTTCTTCCTAGTCCTCCTCGTCCTCCTACTTCCTCGTCCTCCTCCGCGCCCCCCTCCTCTTCCTCCTCCCCGTGACAGATGGAAGCTGGTCTGCAGAGAGAGAGAGAGAGAGAGAGAGAGTGAGTGAGGGGGCTCGGTTTTGCTCGGAAGCTCGGGTTCCCCCCAGGGACCAGGTCCACCCTGGGCCTGATTCGGGGCGCCGCGGGACCGAAAACAAGAAAGTTAAACAAGTTCCAGAAGTATTTAGTCAAGAGCTGTGGATGTTGTGGACTGTGGACCAATGAGCGAGCGCGGCGTTCGGGGCACTCGCGCGACGGGCTGTGCGAGCGCGGGGAGCAGGACACAGTCCACCACAGGCTCTATACCTGCATGCTCCCCCGAGCTGTCGAGGCGCGCGCAGCAGCAGAGGTGCCGGACTCTTTCCTCGACGCTGCGCGCGAAGATCCCGACGGCCCCATGTTCTACGCGCGGTGCGTATACGTATGACGATAGCTCGGAGCCTTGCCCGTTCATGTCGTCTGAGGTGTATCTCTACGACGGGCAAGGAAACGAGGTGGACATGGAACCTGAAGCGACTGCTGATTTAACCCCCCAGTCCCCGCTGCGTTTGGCGTCCGGCGTTGCGAGCACGAAGCCTTCGATTCGGCCGCTGCAGCGGGCTGCCTGGGCAGTGGCTGTCTGCCTTGATGAGGGGGGGGACCCAGTGGCGATAGTCAAAGGCATCGTCCCAGGAGTGCTGCCGCAGACGCCAGCCATGGCTGAACACTGCTGCGTTGCAATTTGCGGCCAGCTTGCCTCGCGCCCAACAGTGCTCGGGGCTGATTGCCAAGCCGCCATCAGACCGTGTCAGAAAAATGTGAATGGTCAGCTCGCCCTGTTCAGCCAGTTTGCTGGAGTGCGAGCATTTGCGCAGCAGCTAGCAGGTTCAGCTCTGATCCAAGAGATACGCCATGTGAAGGCTCATCGAGATGAGTCTGAGATCCAGAGCCTTGTTGGCGAATAGAAAGCTTTCGCCATTGCCAATGCAGCTACTGACCGATATGCAAAACAATGTTTAAGTATGCACCCCGCTCCCATGCCAGACTGCAGTTGCGAGTTGGATGTGGCTGGTGAAAGAGCGGGGTATTTTCTGAAACTTGCAGCGG